GGGGGGGGGGGGAATGATCAATTTTTCCACGAGCGCTCTCGATTCCCTGTTATTTTCAGCAACTCCGTACTAAGTTAATTAAACGAGTCGTTAATTTCGTAAGCGACATGAGTGCAGTTTCGGGCAATCGATAACTTCCCGTTTAGCCTCGAGTAATTTCACGCAACGTCCGCGCGATATTTTTAATACTAACTTCTTCACCCGGGGGTGGAAACTACCGACGTCTCGGGATCGGGCTCGCCGTGCGTTTCAAATGAGCAGTTCCAATGAAGATTGATGTTTATCTCGAAGAAAAGGGTCACGCGCACTCTAAGCTCACGTACACCAAAAGCTCAGCCCTGCGCGCATTGACCTACCGCCAATACGTCGAAGCTTTTTCCCCGCTATCGCATGATGGAATGGGCGGTTGCTTGCGTTCTCGACTAATGTTCGCTGACCGAAACGCCGGCGTTTCCTTCGTTTCTCGTGCTATTTTTCTCTCACCCTTCCCTCGCTCGATCCTTTCCGCGTGTTTTTGCGCCGAAATGGAGGTACCTCGTCGCAGACCCGCCCAACCCTCCGCCCGACATTCTACACAGTTCGATCATCTTGGACCTGGGGATGCTTACGATACTCGGATAGTTTCGATACCTCGCTTTTGTTAACGGGTATTTCTCAGTATAGATGTCGACACGGGGAGCGATAAACGGAAGGCGATAATGAATGGACTACGATAGCGGCAGTCTGACAGAAAATGTCGACTGACTTTTTCATCTGATCTATCTATCTATTTTTGTCTGTGATACTTTCCCGTATGGATTCGACTAGTCTATTGAATGTAATAAAATAGAGCCGGCCCGCGTCTCATTATCTTTCGCGCAGGGAATTAAAGAGTTCATTCACTTGAATCAGAATGCTGAAAACAAAGCTTATACACAACTTTCACGTAATATTTATCGCAGTAAAACGCGTTCGTAGTTGAGGTATCGTGCGATTTTTTTGCGCCGTTCACGAGAGATTTAATACTGAATATCGCAATTTTGCACATACAACTTTATGCGCAAAAAAAAAAATTTCAGTTCGTGTAACTGAATGGGGACCAGATGAAAAACTCGCTGACGAGGCACAATATCTCTGTTACAATATGATTGAAAATATAAATTCGTCTGAACATTCAGCCGCATTAAAACTCGGTTGAGGTAACTGAGAGCAATTGACTGAGTAGAAACTTCTTATAGGAGTCTTTCGATTTCTATAATCGAGTTTTTTTATTTCTATATAACAGAAAATTTAGTTACACTAATAGAGTCGTTTCCTCTGTATGATAGAAGCAGTACAAATTTCCATTACTCCAGTGTAACTTTGTTAAAAGTGATATCATCCAAATAAAAAAACTTACCATTATAAATGTTATTAAGAAACGCGGCGTACACAGAAAAAACAACTCTCTTGGTGTAACTAAATTTTCTGTTACTCTTGGGGACTAAATGGAAAATTCTATTGTAGAAACAAGTAGATTCCTGTAGGAGGCAGATTCCTACTCAACCAATTACTTTAAGTTATCTCAACCGAGTTTTAATGTAATTGGATGTTCAGACGGATCTTTTCAGTCACATTAACAGGGATATTATTTCTCGTCAGCGAGCTTTTTGTCTAATCCCCATTCAGTTACTCAAACTGGATTTTTTTTCGCACAGACGGAAGAGTAGTATTCACTACGTCGTTTTTGTAGACCGGAAAACTTTTTTTTTATGCTGTGAGTAACATTATACTGAGTGAAACGTAGTAAAATAGTATCATGAAATTAACTTCCAAATTAACATTTATTATTTAAGTAGAAAAATAAATATATAAAAACGTAATCTTGTTCAAGGAACAGTGAATTTATGAGCTTTCTCTTGATGTGCTACATTAAAAAAAAATGTTTGACATTTTTGTAACAATAATTATACAGAGAAATAGTTACTATAAATGATGGTTAAGAAAACCATTTTTTTATTAAATTCTACTATAATGTAGTAGATAATAAGTTTATATGCATGTTACTAGTACCATCTTATTATAAAAGAATATGGCTACGGAAAAAAATAACTATAATTTTAGTCAAATCAATCAACTAATTTTTTCTCTTGGTGCAATTGCGCTTCTGGGACGCCCTGAGGATACATATCTTGTGAATAAACTCCCTAAACCAATTCGTATAGTTTCCCGCAGAATGACCGCGCGACTCTGCGCGCAGATAAAGGAAGATCTAACGCGTTTCATTATTCCTCAGGCAGTTGTCAGGGAATTGAACAGGCTGGGCATGTTGGTCGACCTCTCGCATGTCTCGACAAGAACGATGAGGGCGGCCCTGCAGACGACGAGGGCACCGGTGATTTTCTCGCACAGCGCTGCCAGGGCGCTGTGCAACTCCACCAGAAACGTGCCGGACGACGTGCTCAGAAATCTGGTGAGTTCTCCACGTCGCGCCGCAGGATATAGGGAATGCAATCGATCGGACTAGAGGCGAGCCGGAAAAAACGAGGTGATTCGGTAACTCCGTTGTTACCGATGTCACATGCGCCTCGCGCCGCTCCGCGATCCGACTCGACGTCTCGTGACTTCTACCGAATCTGACATTTATTCACTTCGACTCGTCCGCCGCACAGAAACAGCCGGGCAGAACGAGCTGTCGCGAAAAAAGCGCGTTACGTCGACTGCACGCTGGCGGATTTATTTATTTATTTATTTATACGCACCGGTCTCTCTCCCGGTACCGGCCAATTAGAAAACACACGACTTCGCAGCACGCGTTCAACGCACAGAGAGAGAAAGAAAGAGAGAGAGAGAGAGAGAGAGCAAGTGAACAAATATTTCTGCTACACGCTACAACGCGACGGATGTAAAAATCAAAGCGCACTCACGCCTGCCCGCGCGCACACCTCACGTTTACAGCGGAAAACGTGAAAATGTAAACAGCGAAAGCGTTCGAAAGTTGCCGGCCAGTGCAGCCTTTGTTACACTCACACGCGCTGCGCGTTTCGACCACAGCGAGATTATCTAATTTCGGGGTCGGGATACGTACACACCGCACGGGTCAGGTCGATAAGACTGTAGTCGGCGAAGTTTAGTATTGGCGCGCGACAGCCACCCGCAGAATCGCGATATATGTCGAGCACGAGAGGGGCGGAAGAGAGTAAGTTCAAAATTGGCAGGTATACGACAAGGATGCGCGCTCTCGATATTGGCAATTATTATACGTCGACTCGTTGGCGACCTGATGCAGCTTAACAGCATCCGAAAAATATAAGCTCATCCTTAGCGGAATCCTCTTGTATGGCATCAAGAGGATTGCTCTAAAACCAAGAGTAAAACATTCCAAAAATATACTAAATGTTTATATTCCTCTTGGTTCAAAAAGAAAAGAGTTAAAATAATATATATAGTATATTTCTATGATTTAATAGTCTATACGCAGAAAAAATGCATTCTACACTCAAGTAAATGTTACTTATTTCAGTTCAGTTTATATGTAAATCTATCACGTAAATCTATCACGAAGTTCATCATGATCTCATCAATTTACTCGAAATACATTCTAAATCCTAATAAGTGTTTCAATCAAAAATAATGAATTAAAATAAAAACTTGGTTCACTTACTTTACATAGAATCAAGCCAACTTTTTCTTCGATAAAGTTTTATAATATTCTTGTAAAGAGAATAAAATCTTCTTTTAAGTACATGATAACGAACTTTTCTAAAATTTATAATAAGTATAGTTTAAGACTATTACGAAAAAAAATGTATAAAAATGCTTCATAGAATAAGATAATTGTTATCTTAAAAAAAAGAAAATAAATGGAGTAATCGTTTTTCTTAAGAATAGAATGATATTTTTCTGTATGTATTTCATTAGAAGAGCAATAGTGTAAAACACATAATTATTGAATCCCCTTAGTCATTAACACACTACATAAACCTGGTTTCTCTTGCGACCAGTGGCGGTCGTTAGCACTTTTAGTTGTGAACTTCTCTTTTGGAATCATGGACTGCATACAAGAAGTTTAACTGCAATGTTGGTCGCAAGAAAAATCAAGTTCTTTTTCTAGAGTGTCAATGACTAAGGTGATATCAATAATTGGATGTTTTATCCTATTCTAACATAAAGTTTTCACTTAGAATATGGGACTATAGGAGACAGCACATTGCAATTAGAATTCTTGCTTTTTTGAGTTCCTTTTGTAGATGTTAAAATCTTTTCCTTTCAGGTTTAAAAGAATCTCCTCTTGAAGCCAATATGTAAGAGAATTCCGCGCCAAGGATGAGATTATATTATTTTGTTGAATGGAAAATTGAAAAAATTCGTTCCAATTATATTTAAACTATATTATTACAGCGCAATATTGTTACTAACTCTCGATACTTGACGAGATTGTGTTTCAGTTATGAAGAATGCAGGGAATACAATATGCACAAATCTAATCGATACAAAGATAATAAGCGTCGCAAACGTAAATAAATGCCGATGGCTGCTTTTATATTTTTCGCTCGACCTCGTTCGCTTGAGCTCGCACAAGGGGAAAATAAAAGAGACGCGAAAGCGGAACGAAAAGAAATACGCGCTGCGCGGACGATTAAACGTACGTTTTATCGACAGATCCGCCTATCTGAAAGTGAGATGCGTAACGTCGAAATTAAATCCGCGCAGCGAAGGATACAGGCGAAGCGAGGCCGGCCAAATCGAAACGCTGGAGCGGTTTGCAATTCGCGAAGTTGTAAAACGCGCGGGGCCGACGGGGTGGTGGGGCGCAAGAACGCGGGAGCCATATTAGCGCGCACCAAGTGTCGGTGGATGCGCAAATTGTTCGAGTTCGAGTAAGCAACGAGATAATCGCGAACTATTCGCAATCGACGGAGCGAAGTTCAGAGAGAGAGAGAAAGAGAAGATATGTCAAAACGATCCCCCGAGCGGCGCTCGGAAACAACGCGCCAAAATAGCGCGAGTGTGTTCGAGAAGTTCGACGTTTAATCCGCGTTATTAACGATAATTCTGCGCATCCACCGGCGGCGCGATTGGCGTTGATCCAATTGGCGCTAATTCGCGTCCTCTCGAGCGACACGCGCGGCTTTTTTCCTTCCCTTCTGCCGAGGGGTATTAAATACGCAGGAAACACAAACGCGGCGTAATAATTGACGTCGCGTTAATCGCGTAACAGTTGGCCCGACCGGGAACTTAAGCGGGCGCGCAGCGCTTCATTAAAATTTCATCCCTTTCGCGCGGTACACGCTCGTCGATTAGCGATTGACGAGCTGACGATGAGCCTGCGGAACTTACAGTTACCTCTCGCCAAAATTAAATCCAGCTTACTGCCGATTAGCTTCCGCGTTTCGAACTTTATCGCGCAAGACGCGATCGGACCGCGCATGGGAATATCGATTTGATTATTTTATCGGTTACTTTGTAACAATTTTTTTTGCGCCGGGCAATCCACTACTGATTAATCGCCATTTTTCGACAAGTCGCGTCCGAATTCAGGCGTGTAATCCACGCAGAATCACCGAAATGCAAAAGGGAATTAATTAAAAATTATATTGCGTCGTTCATTCTACCTACATAGAAAGAGTGCGGTCAAGTTTAGCAATATTCGAGATCTTAAATTATTTTTTGATAAAATTGTAGCTATTCATGAGTGAATTAGAGATATATAAGTACCAAAGTTATTGTTCCTCATCATTTGGGAGACAATTTAACACGTTTAAACGTGTTAAAATATAATTTATATGTTTCTTAAACGTGTTATAGAACGCGATTTAAAATCGCAAAAAGCGTGTGAAAACAATTTCAGCCAAACTACACGCGTTTCAAAATAACATACTTGGATTCACAGTGTACTCGCACACTCGCTCGATTTACAAGTGTATCCACGTTGAAAGACTGTTAAACAGCCCTTCGTGAAAGAAGACAGTTACTAATTAATTAACCAAGGTTTTCCCCGACTTTTCGAAGTCGAGAGAGGTAACATCTCCGCACCTATGAACTTCACTCTCTTCCGGTCCGCGATCAATACTGCCTTAATTATACCCGCAGAACGAGAGGATGAGTAACAGCGATCTAAGCCGGATGGCTTGTCCGGTAACGTGTTATTAACCGCGCCGTCCTGCTGCCCTAATTAACATTGCCCGTGTAGTTTAAGCTACGTTAGGTGTCGAATAGACGGCGATCTATGCGCACTGTGTGTCCCTTGGCACAGTTTCTCCGATAGCTTCCGCCAAGTGATAAAAAGGAGCGCTTGATCGAGCGGAGATTAGCGTTTCTGAACTGTACCGCGATGTCTCCTCGAGATAATGTCCCGTGTCTTCCGTTAACAAGAAAATTACTCGAGCTTGTGATAAACGAAACTAATAATTCACGGAGAAAACACTAAGGATATCATTTGGCTACGTATAATTGTCACACGAAAATATTAATGTTATCTATCTATATAGAAAAATTCCCGTTGAATAACCATTGAGCTCTCGAACAACTGATGTACTCTCGCGAAATACTCTACCAGTTGGATAATTTATATTGTAACTTTACTACACACAGCGTGATGTCGCTACAACGTATTTTCGTATCGCACATTTAAGGATGGAGAGAAATACGATCGCGAGGCGTATGACATTAATGTATCTGTTTGCAGGCTAAGAATGGCGGAGTGGCGATGGTCCCTTTTTATACCTACTTCATAACGTGCAACAGCACCGCTACCATAAAAGACGTTATTGGTACGTAGAACGCTATTCGCGATGCTGCGCTAAGCCATGCCGCACGGAAGCGAATTATACTGTATCGATATTGCACGCGACAGACGCAATTACCGTACTCTGTTATTTTACGATGCAAAACCTGTCTTTGCAAACTTCATGTTTAAAGTCGATATGGAAAATAAATTTACCCAATATTCCACGAACGAAACGTAAAAATTTCTCACACATAGAATAGACTTCGCGAGAATTCGAAAATTCATCTTAATTTATCTGTTATTCTTACGAGAAATTGGTATTGTCTATTTTCTTAGTTTAGGTCTGCAGGTATTTATATGCTAAGAAAAAAATGTTTATTCGCGGTTTATACTAATAACACACACACATATATACTTCCAAATTCACATTCTTTTATTTAAATAAAATAAACTGCTTTCAAAAGTTAAGATTTTGAGAAAATGTGTATTTACTTATCTGGAAAATATTTCATATTAATATAAGCAAATATGTTATTAACGTATCCCTTGAATAAATATTTTTTTGATTCTTAAATATTTTTTTGATTCTTAAATATTTTTTTGATTCTTAAATATTTTTGTCTCTCAGTGTAATGAAACGTTAGCCATTTCGACGTCGCTACCACGACGAGATAATCACAGCTCTATACTCTGTTTCAGCGCACATCAATCACATTCGAAAGGTGGCAGGGATCGATCACGTCGGGATCGGAGCGGGTTTCGACGGAATAAATTTGTAATTATTCCTTACTGTCTCTCTGTGTGCGCTGTATTCTCTCACGAGGCGTACATTCAGAAACGACATTGCCACATACGGCCAATTTAGTCCGCGTCTGCGATAACGGTTACAATTAACAAAGTTACGCCAATCAAAGATGCAATTTATATCGCTCTGAGAACAAACAATTGTCTGGTCAGCGCATAATTATAACGCTCTAAAACAAAAAAGGAAATAGTCCGTCAAACGATATTTATTGCGATAATCACGCGAGCTATGTCGTTTTCTGAATACCGACTCGAGATCAGCGAACTAAGAAGATCATCTGACTTCCGCGAGTCTCGTCCCTTTCACAGCACTCCCACTGGCTTGGAAGATGTCTCGAGATATCCGCAATTATTGGCCACCTTACTGGAGGATCCTTCCTGGACGGAGGAGGACATTAAGAAATTGGCCGGCCTTAACTTGCTGAGGGTATTCGCGAAAGTCGAGCAGGTACATTGCTTATTTTTTATTGGATGCATTCTTTTTACGATTTCGTTTACGACGTTGTAAACAGAAAGCATTCTAATTGCTCGAACAAAACACGTAATCCCGATTGCGAGTGAGCTCCCCGACGCTGTACCCCGTAATTCAAGGTATCTGATTGCGATTAATCGCCCACGTTAAATTTATCGGCGCTATTGGACGGCTGTGAAAGTTTTATCACTCTTCGTCACGCGCGCGCCAACGTAATTAAACGCATTAGAACTTGGAATTGCTCGTTTTCGATTTTTATTGTTGGAATTCACTTTTCGTTGTTTGAATTGAAAGAGGAATTAACGGAACTTGACAATTGATAATGTGTACCGATAATATCTTCACTGGCGCTAATTCTTATTAAATTAAAAACTTCCCGAGTCGAAAATGTGATTCTACCATTAACCTCGCAAAATTCTATCGAATTCGAAGGATCAATGGGGAATATCGAGATATAAATGCTTTAGAATACACAGAACTCCAATAATGTCTGTTATTTCCGGCTGGGGTATTTTGGTATTCTACATCTTATCAACATATTTTTGTATCATGATTCTTGGTTTTGTGAAAAAGCTCAAAAATCCAGTCATATTAAATATAAGGATAATAGTATATGTATATACTTACCGTTGCATTTAATATGGTTGAGTTGCTGAGTTTTCTCAAAACCAACAGTTATGATACAAAAATATGCGATGCGTTTGAACAAAAATACTCTAATCGGAAATGAAAAATATTATTAGAATCCTATATATAATCAATGTATTCTCCATTAAAAGCTACATTTGTAACTGATAATTCAGTTATGAATTTAGCACTGTATAGTCATTAAACCACGCTGAAAGGATCAGTTAATACCAACGACTGTTCCTATTATTTGCCATTTGCAAGCACAGACAGTATTATTGCACGCGAATCGTATAGAAGCCGTTAATTCCATCGCCACAAATGCAGAAAGTTGGGTTTGCCGCAGCATATAACGAATGTGTACTACAGATTTTGCAATGAAACCTCACTGATCGAAATCAATGAAATATAAAATAGAAGAGTAAAGTAGGAATGTTTCCATCAAAATCAATGAATATTCACAGATTATATACAAGTGAAATACTTTTTTTCTTTACTAAATCTACTGATCAAGAAACATTTTTCACTCATTTACACTTTAAGAAAGTAAGTTTGAATGACGCGACGACAGATGTTAGACTTGACTTTTTTATCTTTTGTCTCGCGTATTACGTGCTTTTCTGTAACCGAATATTCCATTACGTCACTAATGACGTGACGTGTATTTACGCGTCAATTACAATTCCCGCCGGTTGATTAAAATAAAATTTCGTTGACCCTTGAAATATTCAATCGGACTCTCGTCGACATCACGTTATTTAAAGTGCGTTTCCCCGATCGAATCGTATCTACGCCGGTGTCAGTGCCACGAGTGAGTATCCGCAGTGATGAAGCAGCCAGGATGCAAGAAAGCTAGGACCGGAGGATATAGGAGATGCCAAGATGTAGGCATATATTTCCCGACACGCCAAATCATTTATTACATGAAATGCTTCCGATTTTTACGGACGTTCGATGAATTTACCGAGAATGAGAACATATTCTCCTCCCTGAGTTCACTTAAAATTCAATAAATAAATATACACTGTAAAAAATCTTGCGTACACAGTACGTAAACAAATGTTCCAAAAAGTCCACTCTAAATTTTGTATCAAAAATAACTCATTCATATGTTCATTCGGGTGTTATTTACATTATGTATAGACTAGTATATAATATAAATAACACAAAATGAACATATAAATGAGTTATTTTCGACACAAAATTTAGAGTGGACTTTTTGGAACATTTGTTTACGTACTGTGTTTACGCAACATTTTTTACAGTGAATATAGTTGGAATAAACTATTTAATAGTTTATTAATATTTTGTTAAATATAATTATTATAGTTATTATAGTTATTTTATGTACAGAGTTATTTTTAGTAAGTAATTAAAACTTTAGTTGCAATAACTACCAAATTGTTTATTCCAATTGTACGCATTACAATTTTTTCCTATAAGTTGCTATTACCATGTTTTTTTCTAAGTATACGTGTCCAGATATTGGTATTTTTTTTTAACCGTAATTATCTATTGACACGCAGAATTGTTGGGCACATAAATTCTATCATAATATAAAATTCAATAGAAATTTCAGGTTCGATGTGCAAGCAAAATTTTAATTCGATCTACTTCCGAACGTAATAATACTGAAAGTACTGAAATAAATACAGCGTAATTCAGAAAATAGTAAAAACGCTCGGCAAGTACACATTAGCGTATATTGGCGACTGATAATGCACGAATTCTACGGGACGCTATCTGCGGTGTCTGCAGGGTATCCTGCAGGGTATCCTGCGGTCTAGACTAGTCACGCGCGTAACACAAGTCGAGTTTGCAACTTGTAACTTCCTTTCCATAGAATTTGATCTCGGTACCTTTTGGTAGGAAGTACCCAGCGGTAATATCGAGCCCAGCAAGATCTTATCGCGTCTGGTTCCCCGTTACCCAGCCGCGTCACGTATGCGATCATTGTCTTTTCTGATAACAGGTTCGCGACGAGTGGCACAGGGCGGCGGTGTTACCCGTGGAGAAGATCAGCCCGCCGGATAACTCTGCCTGCGTCTACGGAGCGTCCTGATCCTCTTTGCGGACACTCACACCGGGACTTCTCGACTTTGCGCGATCGCCGAAGATCCTGCGAGTGGCGCGGTATTACGGGAGCCTGTGAGCACGCGTATCCCGAATCGCCAAAGGATCCTTCCGAAAAAAGAAAGCCTCCACACATCAGACACTCGCCGGGCAACGGCAAAGAGAAACAGAGAGAAAGAGAGAGCGATTCACACCGAAAGAAACTGCCGACTACTTCAGGGACTCCGTCGCGCCTTAACGAGTGACGAAGATTTAGCGCGGGAATGCGACCGGTCTTTCGAAATTAATGGCGTCGAGGATCCTTCAGAGACACCTTTGGGACGAGCCCGTTCGTCCGCTTCCGACGTCGCTTGGAAGAATCTCAAGATCAACGCCGCGACCATAAATCGCGCTCGCGATTAAGATGTGTTACGTTTGAGAAATGATCATTCTCCCGTTGTATGAGCATGCGCCGCTTCATTTCGCAATATTGGCCATGAATTCGCAAAGTCTCATAATACTAACGAAAGATTAACGACTGTTCTCCCAACTGTTTCCGTGCTTGTGAATTATTCGGTATCACATTTTGCGATCGTTTGTCAGGCGTTTCCGTCCAGACCCAAATTAAAATTTCGCTTCACGCATCCGGACATCCGGTTTGAGCATTATTTCACGTCACGAGCGATACACTGAGGCATAAGTGTGCTTTAGACCCGCCACGCTATACATTGTAACTTGTACCAAGCGATAATCGCGAAACACGAAAGTCTAACGACACGATCTCGTAATTCCCGCTTTCAGATGCAATTATCCGACCATGCGGATTAGTCCACGAAAGTGCATTACTACGTCCTCAGCTTGTTGTCCAACTTATTTCGCTGATCGCGAAGGCGATCGGAAGGATCCTCGAGAAAGCCTCCCAAGAAGAGGCAAAAACTCATCATTGTTGACGCGCATTTACTTCCAACTGTGGCAGCCTGATTCTCATATCACGTTCACATCGACGCAATTTTCGCGCTAGACTAATGAAATTCGGAAACAGGCGGCCACATTTAGCGCTAAATGTGCGGACAGGTCACACGACGACACCGTATGTGATCAATCCTATGAAACTTGTGAAACGTGCTCGGGACTGAAGCCGAAACCGCACGTTCGAGAATGCAGGACAATTATTATCACATCTCTCAGGCGTTACGATTATATCGTTCTTTATATTTTCGACCAGTGGAAAAAGAACGTGAACAACGCCAGCGTTATGCACCAGCCGAAGAAGAGATAAATTGTACTTTTATAATTTTTAGACGAATTAACGATAGTACCGTATCACAATGTCCCGGAATCCCGCGAAACGTTTGGATTCATTCCCATGATAGACAGGAACTGCAGTTCTACGGATTGCGTGACGGATTAATAGACGTTTGTACCGCTTGCGTTCCTCGTAAACGAACTCATCTTTGCTCGCGCTCGCGTGTACTTCCTTTTCCGAGCGAAATCATATCTCCGGAAAAATCTTTCGGTGGAGCTCGCACCTTTTCGTTTTTATCCGCATAGAAAATTTCTTAAATTTAATTGGGATCTAATCCGATTTCCCAAAATAGAGTTATGGATTCTGGGTAGAAATGTAATATTTCGAAATTCAAAGTTTCCCTCGCATTTTCTCTAACCCCGTATCTTCATCTTACATTAGACAAAAGAAAATATGGTAACACTTTCCGAATAATTTTCTTACTCGGAAAGAATGTTCAAAGTGTTAAATTCTAAACACAAGAAAACACAATGCATTTTTATTCGCTTCCGTAAAAGTTATCAAAATTTAATGCTTTTTTTAATCAGCGTAAAATACATCGAGAAATATGAATTTATTAACATTGTTGCGACTCAATAAAATTGAAAAAAGTTATAATAAAAAACAAAACATATATTTGTAAGAACAGTAACGTTTGAAAGGTTAATCTGAACAAATTTTACCTATACGTTCAGAACTCTAAGGTTAAAAATATTTTTTTTTTATATTTTATTCTATTAAAACAATAATTGGTATGAAAATGAAATTCTCCGTTTGTTACCACAAAAATATACTGACATTACCGACTGAAAAAAGCGCGAATTCTTGTAACATTTCTGTTCTGATTGTAGATAGAGGATCTATTGTTAGGACAAAAATGAAATGTTTTCAATTACTATCAGTTGAAAGAAATTCAGACATTCTAATCAGAATCTATGCTGTATCTGAGAAAATCTTGGGAAATTTTTATGCGGCTCAGTATCGATCTGTGCTCGCGGATGCTCGTAAAAGCGAGGTATACAGAGTTTTTCTCAACTCTTCGACAAACTTATAGCTATGAAGTCTTTCGTCATTCCGTGAGTTGAGTTTTTCCAAACGAAAATACAGTCAAATATCAAGTTTCTTACACTTTCTTCACTTGCAACATTGCATAACGTAACTTTTAGTGGCTCGTCTGTATCCTCCAAAGATACTTCGCGAGAGAGATTATTCATATCTAACCACAATAGAAAGGTTATTAATATTTCGACAATATATACACTTAAGAAGGAGTGATTCCGTACTATTCAATGAATCCGCAGCGGTGTTTGTCAGCGTAGTTTTGAAACGCCCTGTATATAAACGTCGAATCGGACAAGTGCGCTTATGGTGTGTGAATTTCAAGAAATCACTAAGGAGATAATTGAGAGATTATTGAGAGAGATAGTGCTAGAAAGAATACCAAATTTCTGGCGACTCGCTGAAGCCTCGAAAATAGCTCCCACGTGTCAATAAAGAGAACAAACGGCAAATCTCGTTCTATGACTAGCTTCTGTAATTGATACTAACGCAACGAATCGAATTTCGTCTTTCGAATATCGACTTCGACTACTTCGTAAAAAAAAAGGAAGAAAAGAGAAAAAAAAAGTATAAAGGGATTTAACATCGTTTTCCGCAAGATGCACGCTTCTGATAGATAACACTTTGCGCTTTCGACTGAACCCGCTTGCTGAAGAATATCGGCCAGTCTTGAGATCCACTTGGCACGCGGTGTTTGCGACAATTGTTCCCCGCTGTTGGGTCACGACACGCTCACGGGTGCGTGTGGTAACGCGCGCGCGCGCGAGTCGACTCGTTGCCGATGTTGAACACTGCCAACAAGCCACGCTTACGCATACTGGATTCTCTGCGAGGACTCGGGTCTCATACCTGCGATACCCCACTCACAAAAACGTACGCGAAGCACCGAATCTTCGATCGACGATCTGACGGTCGCGCGACGGCACGGAATTCGATAGATCGATACCTACCTGTCGCGCGTCGGGAAACCGAAACATCCTCACATATCCGCATAGACGAGCTTCCCGAGGCGTGATCGATCGTACTTTGCGCACAATTGCTCGAGTTCCACCGCCGTGTTTACCGCATCCCTGATTTCACGAAACGTCGTTCCGTTCAACACGCTCCCTGCCTCCCTCTTTCTGGTCCCCGCCCCGTCCCGTCCTCCCTCGCGCGAATGCTCCGTGTGAACGAATGTTGATCTAACAAATCACACGTAAAGCGAAACGCGATCTGTATTCTTCGAAAGTTATCGCCGACGCGAGCCGTTTATTTTGAAAATGGCGCGCAACGATTTTCAGAAATAGAATTTACAGAGAGTTCACGGGCACACACGCGGGAGTTTGTATTCTGGAATTGAATGCGCGTCGCGAACTTGGACTCCCGCCACTTTCAAAATAATCACACGACGAACAACTTATTACTGGACGAACAGTTACGCATCGTCCCTTCCCCATCCCCTTTCTCCCCTTCCCCGCCTAGGGCTGTGATATTTTCCACGAGCCTCATGAGACGTTTTGTGCTTCCACATTAAAAAAAAAAGAAAAAAAAGAAATCAAGGCATGTCGCTGAGGAGAGGAAATGTGTCGCCGAAGAAAATCACGCGATACACTCGACGATTCATTAAAGCGATAATAGTTGGTTTCAACTTATATCATCGCACGAACATTGCCGAGCCGATCTTTGCATTCGAATCTCATTGAGGAATACAGCGGTTGAATTAATGAGATTTTGCTTGAACGGACAAAATTCGTCCGAGCGAAAGTTTAAATCGCACTGAGAGGTAAAATAGTTGATCTAATTAAAATTATAAATATTTTTTGTTCCAACCATACTTTTTAATTATTCCAACACGAATAATGGCGGTAGTAATATGCACATAAGATTATTATTACTAACATTACAATAGAACTCAGGGAAACAAATTTTTAGTTAAAGATATTAAATGAAAAAAATTAAATAAATTTCTCTCGCAAATGCAAGAAAAAAATTTTTTTAAATTACTATAAATTATGGATAAAAATCTTGACGATAATTTACAGTAATTATTTACCAACGTGATCACAATTAAAAATATCAGATATTTTTTTTCAGTGCGATTGAATGAATTATATAGTTACTGCAATGAGTTGTCAATTGATTCAATAATCGCAATTTGGTCAATAACCGTATCGACTTATACTGTTGCATTGACGCGTAATTTGTCCAATAGATACATTTTATTGAAGACGAGTGACTGCCGATTTTGTCGATTTCCCAATTGCTTATTTTTCTCAGTGCAGGAACCGTGATTTCAAACATTCGTATTGTGATTAAAGTGGAAAAAAGTCATAAAGCACATAGACAGAGCTATTTCCGAGATGCTAACTTTGCTTCGCATCCCCCCACTTTCCCGCTCTTTATCCATATATCTGTGCACTATTACACAGAATCCCGTAACTATATATGACTTCGTAGCATAAGTTCGCCGCGAAAACTTTAAAGGACATATTTCATCCCGACGTTACCAATATTCCGCGAAATCTCTCAGCCGACCATCGTACCGCCTTAATCGAATAAATCGCGAGACATCGCGCGAGAACGAGACATTCTGTCGATACGCCGAGATTTTCCGATTACGACTTTGTAATATTGCGTTGAACGATAGCGGCATCCAAGCGCAGGATCCGTAGCGGAAACGACGAGAAGTATAGCGTAGAGTTTATCGCGGACCGTACATTTGCGAGAAATTTTTAGGTACACAGTTGAAAATCGCGAACGATTTAACGAAAACACACACGTACACACTCGCTCACTCACACACACATATACCCACAAATGCACACGCATCTCGTGAGAGAACACGAACCGATGCCTTCAACAATTCGCGGCGCTATTTCACGAGCGACGGAATCTTCGTCCGCGCAAACTGTTGGATAATTAGAATTTCGACGCGGAACACTTTTTTGCAAGAAGAGAAACGCGAGTTAAAAAGTGCTTGTATAGCTGTTAATTCGTAAAAAAAATATATATATATCGTTGGCTATACTTTTCCCCGCGGCAACACATTCGGATTTCGATCCGTGCGAAAATGCGAATTCCTTTTTCTCTCGAAGTAACGTTATCAGTATGCATCTCTATTCCGAGAAATCTCTAGCAAATACACTGAAAATTGTCAAAATAAACAAAAAAAAGAAATAAAAGTTTACGATTAATCAATAACCGTACTAGCGAGACGCAGCTCCCCTTTACATACATTTTAGCAGCAATAAACGCAGGTAACCGCCAGATAGTCTACTATTAAGTAGCATAAACGACCAATAGGAAGATACGCATAATTTTTAATTCGTATGGAGTAAGTCTAACGAGTACGTAATTACGGTACTTTGCTCAATACCACCAATTAGGACGTCAGGACATACACGGGACACATATACACACACACACACGTAAACCGCTCTTTCCGTAGCGTCTCCGTAATGAGAAACCACGTTTAGATAAACCAAACGATCGTCACGGTTATTCTTTATAAATCATTTACGAGACCTTCCCGCTCGCGCCAAGACGTGAGTAGACGCCGAGACAAATACTATACGAGCCGACCCGAATCGAGGGAAAACCTAGATAATCATTTTGAAGTGTGTATGAGTGATCACGCGCGAAAGAGCGAACGATGATTATAGCGAAAATAATGTGCAGCGTTCAGCATGCGAGCGAACGAGACGAGAGAGAAAAGACATATTGTCAAAAACCGGAATAATTTCGAGCGCTTCGAGACGGAGGACGTAACAACAATCGTATCCGACTGATGTCAATTATTTGTCAGCGAGAGATGAATCTTATCGATGCATCACTCGCGCCTCGTATCGTTTCGACAATCCACACTTCTCGACTTCATTTCGTCACAAACTGACAAATATTTCTCGCCTTACAATGAGAAAGAAAAGACAATGATTGATCCAATTAAAATTATAGCTACTTTTGAACCTAACCATATCTTTTGGTTATTCTAACACGAAAATGGTAATAGGAACATGCATATAAAGTTGTTATCACTAATATTGTAGTAAAATTTAATTTAAGAAATAGTTTTATTGACCATAATTTATAGTGATTATTTCTCTATGAGATTTTATATATATATATATATATATATATATATATATATATATATATATATATATACACATACATTACACAGCGATTGCTCGACAAGGCACGGAGAGAATAAAATTGAGACAAGCAGAATCCCGGACATGGACGTTCTCTTCTCGAACAGCTCGATCGTTATTCTTTCGATAGATCAACGTGTTCATTTTTGTAAAACCTAAGAAGTAGGGCGATCGACCCACGCATGTGTAGAAACCATTTTTTCTAAAACGACTTGACCGGAGAATATCGGAGGAGACGCGAGAGAAGGAAGACAACGGTCGAGACGACAAAGGGAAATCTTAGCTATAAACCTTAACGTGTATAATATAAACAACACACAACTGCCTAGAAAAAATTCAGATTAATATATATATATATATAATATTATACTTACTATATTATATACAATTAATAATGACATGTCTAAACGCACAACGGGCAAGTTTAACTGGGCAAAGGAATGCGTGTGTAAAATAAGATATACATCCAACCTGTAACTAATGTACGTACGTGTGTACAAGATGTCCCAGAACCGCCGGAACATATTTCAGTGACCGAATCTTAGCTAACCGAAGGCCGAATTGAAGAAAATATGTCGAAATATTTGCGATTCTGACGTTATAAGGCATCGATAGTCGTTGAGTTATAAGCGAAAATATATGACGAGTGAAACACCCGAGAGCGAAAGAGCGAGAGAGAGCAAGAGAGGGATATATATATATATATATATATATATATATATAGAGAGAGAGAGAGAGAGAGAGAGAGAGAGAGAGAGAGAGTATGTGAAAGCTTAAGCAGAGAAAATAACATCATATTGTTTAATTAAAAGTTCCGTCTGCTTTTACTTGAACGATATTTGGCGGCTACCACACGATATGCTTTGCGTTGAAACTTGAATAATCGCGATGTGATGCGTCTTCCGTGAGAGAGAACTTCGTTGTAGAAAAAAAGAACAATTTCTGTGCGCGAGAGCACAGCGCAGCCCCGTCGTTATCCGAAATACACACAGGTAGTTTCGCGATACGCCGTACAACAGGCAAGGGGGAACGACGAATCAGTTCAGCGACTGCACTCGAGAGACCATAACGCAGCACGTTTCTGACCGTAGCTACGATTTTTCACTTTGCCGGACGATGATAATGTACTCCCCAGCACTTATCCGCGAAACAAGTTTTGCGATCGGATGTCGATATATCGAGAATGCCAGCGAAAACAAACTTACATTGGTACGCTAGCGCCCAGCCGCGATATTTCGCCCGTTATCTCAGCCAAGTTACCGGTTTGAAAAGTTAAACTCCTGCGGGGACGTCGTACATTTCCGACACCCTCAATAATGCAAGCGCAAGAAAGGGATCAGTTGCTGTAATGCGAGTTCGTCAGGCGTTTTCTATTTTCCGCGATCTAGAAGTTGCGCGGAGACTCGTTTCGCCCAGCGTTTCGTTACGCGCGATAATAATTTTAAGTATACTCTCGCCGACCTCTGACAGCAAGATTCTCGGGGCGAAATAACAGCGATCGTCATCGACTTTTGAACGGCGGGATCAAATCGCACTTCGGAACGGCTAAAGTCGTGCAAGTTGGCCCGAGCGAAAAGGCGAGGAGTAGCGCAATGGCAGACACCGGGAAGTAACTGTAGATTTTCTCACGACGAACTTCGGCCAAGATACGACGCGAAACTTTCGTACGCTCGCATTCTCGATTTATCGCTTTGTCGAACGCTCGAGATGAATCCTAGAGATAAAAAAAAGTGACGACTGAGCCGAAGCACTTTAACGGCGACGCCACTCTAAAGAGCGTCGCCGTTTATCGCTCTGTGCGAGAAAACTCGGGAACGCGAGAGGCGGAGTGGGAGAGACGTTAAAGGGAATTTCATTATCAACAATTACAAGTACAATCAGCAGGATGCCTCGAGCTGTTCGATGACTTATACAGCGTGTGTAAAAGTTTTTAGAAAAATTTAACTACGTGATGGAGCGAGCGAGCGAGCGAACGAGAGAGAGAGAGAAAGCGAGAGCGAAAACGCGCGCGAGAGAGAATTGCGAGATGATAATACATTTAATGTTACGAGGATTAATGCATGACCGGATATTAAAGAGACTATGAAAATGGAGATAATAGAGAGAGAGAGAGAGAGAGAGAGAGAGAGAGAGAAAGTTTTAATAAAATAATTCGTAACGCGCGCGCGCGCACACGCGCTCTATAAACAAGAGACACTATTGATACCTATTACCTAAGAATTCATAGGATATATATATACGCGGATACACACCTACACAATCATAGAGAGAAAGGCAGAGAGAATGTGTGAACGAGAGAAAAAAGGAGAATCTGAGAAAAAAAGAGCAAAATGGACATGGAAATCCTATGAACATAACTATAAATATATACCGACGTATGTGCGTGATTACATTAATATCTATGCAAAATTAGACATCGATGTACTTGCGGACGTAACACGTGCATGAGACTAAATCTTGCTATTATCTATATGACAACAGATAAATATATACTATATACATAGGATGTCGCACAACGCTATCGCCACCCTCTTCTTCTGCGGATTCTTTGATTTTGAATTCACCTTCTCCGTATGAATGTTGAATTTTTGATACTGGGCACTCCACTGCAACTGAATCCACGCTTGAGATTCTGTTAATGTGACGTTAGCAAAGTGAAACAAGCGCAACATTTGATCAACACAAGAAAGCTTCTGCGCTTCTTCAATTGCTTATAACTCAAGTACTATTGATGCTTCGACATTTTCGACTGAAGAAATTATCGAACTGATCAAAGAATTCTCAGAGAAAAGAGTGGCGCTGGTCCACTGGAGCATCCTGTACATAAGGAAAAAGAGGGAAAGAGAGAGAGGAAAAACAATGTAAATGTATGAATGAGAAATATTGTGCGTAAGAGAGTGTAAAGAGAATAGGAATGAACTAATTGAGAATTTTTTAAAAGGAAGTCGGGCCGCGCGTTTTTCGAGCGTACGCTCGCCGGTCCCGGCAAACTTAGGGAAATATTTACAAGTGATACATTTACTTGAGGGCAGTTTTAGTTAGAGTGAGAAAGATAAACCTAGATCTCGTGTATAAACTAATTTTAGGAGTTTCAGTTTGTTTGATGTTAGAAGTGATCCGGGAGAACGTCGAGTCGATCGTCGTGGACGCGCGAGAACGCGGCAATAAAATCGAATCGAAACGAATCGGTATCCTGTTGCATTTAATTGCGGGCTCTCATGTTCGCGGACGATTAAAGTCGGAGCGCCTCATCGAGTTTGCAAAAGGACTTCCTCCTTAAACTTGCGCATTGGCTAGTCGAAGCGCTAATAAGGTAACTTACCCGTTCACGATTAAACCGCTTTACATTAATTAGGCGCGCTTGCTCCGCTCTATGAAATTCAATTTTACGACACCGTACTATAACTAAGCCATTTTAGTGGATCAGCAGCGTTTTTACTCAATTTCTTATCATTAGTAGGCAATTACGATTGTTGAATTTTTAGCAAATTGAATACAAGTAAAGAGAGAAGCAGAGGATTGTTACGGGAGTAAAGTAAGCGTTTAAAACGAGATATACTCGAAAAGACATTTCGGAGGCGAGAATGAAAGCTTATGCGAATATCACGAGTCACGCGCCATTTTACGGCGCGATAGGTCAAGTTATTAATAAATGATTAGGAAATTTTGGAATCTCCGGTCGAGATAAACGCGCAAGATGATACGCTTGCGGCCTCAACGGAGACCACTGATTCGATTTTACGCGTCGGTCATTAAAAAGAAAGAAAAAAAAAGAAGAGAAAAAAGAAATTATTACTTCGCGTGATGATGCGAGTTTCGCGAAGAGCGGACGAAGACGATCGCAACGGCGATGATTTTATCTACGTTAATCTAGAAGACATTGCTGGAACAATGATTTGTACGCCTTCTATGAAGGACCCTAGAGTACATTATTATGTTACCTAATACTCATAAGCATACATTATCTAATAAATATTATTTACAAAATCAGCCCCGAGAGCTCTTAACGAGTGCATTTATTTCAACATTCCCCGGAACACATACCCCAGAAGATAAAGGATCTATTAAACGACGAGAAAAAAATATCTAAAAAATTAAAGATATTTATTCGGTAGGTACTAACATGTTAATTAATTAAATCTAGATTCTTTTATTTAGTCTAAACCATTGCTTTCATATATGTGACAAACCAAAGTTTTGAGAAAATAGGACACTGAGAAAAAATACTTAAAAATTTATTTGTGGCATACAAAGTTTAATGTTCTGTGTGAATGAACTTTATATCTTAGATATAAATTTTCAAGTATTTTTTTTTTCATATATTTTTGTATATTTTTTCTGAAGTACTTTTCTCTAGAATTTTTTCAAGTATTTTCAAATAATTTTCAAGTATTTTTTTCATATATTTTAATATGTTTTTTCTCAAGTATCTTTTTCCCACAAATGTATTTTTTCAAGTATTTTTTTCTCAATGTATTTATAAAATTAATATTTTAAGAAAATGGTATATTCCTTCTCTCTATTTGAAGAATATTTTATATCAGTACAAGAAAATATATTATATATAAATTGGTACCCACCGAATTCTTTTTATTTTTGAGATATTTTTCTCTCGATGTACAAGGACGCGAATATTCAAATTCTCGGGAACAAAGTTCCCGTGCTTGAAAACTCTACGCTTGGATTGTCACGATTTCCCGCTGTGCGGTTAGATAGATTTGCGCTTGGGAATAACGACAGCGGGTGTTCGTTCAAATGGATAAAAATAGTCCTAAGTAGCGTGGCGCGCGGTTAGCTTCTAGAGTACATCTAATAGAAATTAATAGCATCCTAGGTAACGGCGGTCTCATGAGAAAAGATAGTCGAGTTTTACAGCCAAGAATGCTGACACATCCAGAACCGGCCATATATTTTCGTTAAAGCACGATTATCGATTGGTGAAAGCTACACAGAAAGAAATTTCAGGAGCGTTCGCCATAGATCAACGTCCACGAAAACACTGACATACAACGATTTGCGCGGATTTTCGGAGACGCATTCTTAGATAAAACGTTGAATAATTTCAATTAATAGCGCATGCCTCGATCGAGTTCCACAATATACTCTGGAGTGAATTCGCACTGATAAATAAATAAAATACCAAGTTCTTTCACGCCTTTCACGGTGAGACTTTTACATGAACCGTAAAACTGTTACACGCGCATTTACCGCAACTTTAACAATTTATCCTGTCTTTTTTCCTTTGTGTAAACCAAAAAAGAAATAAAAAATAGAGCAGACCAACGCTTAAACAATCCATGTCCACGTTACGCGTTTCTCGCGCCCGCTGTTTAACGATGCCGCGCTCGCTCGAAAAATGCTTAAGAGAAAAAGGAGGAATCGCTTTTCTCCGGCGCTCTTTTTATTCGCGGTAATAAACCGAACACACGCGTTAGGCGAAAGCCTAGAAAGCAAAGTGAAAAGCGTGACTAACGTGCCGTGCAGGCGCGTGCTAACGAGAAACTCCGCGAGATTTAGTGGACGTCTAATGGGCCGTAAAATGCACGATGAATCGATATGTTAATGTCGCCACAGGCCTGACTTATTTACGGTCGCTCGTAAAAAGAGAGCGATGGTGATGATAACTATTCACTACGATAATTCCGAAGTGTTGATAGCATGATCTATCACCTCGATAATTAGCTCAGACTTGAACCAACATACACGAAAATATTTGGTCGCGCGAGAAATCAAACGTCAAGTATTCGTGTATCTCTCCTCATCTACACAATTGGCATTTCTATTACAATCACAGCACAAACCATTATATAAATTTATGCCCACGCTGCAAATCCAAGTATGTTATTTTTAAACGCATAAAGCGTGTAATTTGACCTTTCTTTTGCGCGTTTCTTGCGATCTTAAATCACGTCACCTAACAAGATGAGTAAAATATAATTTAATACACTTAACTGACATGACTTAAAACGATAAGAAATATGTAGAAAAAAAATCATCCAAAATAACACACTTGCATTTACGATGTGTATAGTAAAGCAAAAAATGGCAATATGAAGCAAGACTGATTTCTTGAACAATTATCTGCCAGCAACTAAACCTAACGATTAGAGCCCTCATCGGTCACCAAAGGGATCTGGCGCCAATACTATGTTATTTATAGCGTAAAATTCAAAATTTTTTCCCATCTTAATTGATAAATTTAACATATTATTTATATATGTGTCGATTAAGAATAAGATTAAGCGTCAAAATCACAAAGTTAGTTGTTTGGAAATAACTTTTTCTACTTTGAGATGTTGGGTTATTTGGAAAATAAGAATAGGTAATAACATGGAACAAGGTGTTTTATATGAAACAGGTGGTCCATATTACCACATCTCGTGCAGGAAGAGTAAAAGTGACATTTTTATTTCATAGGCTTTCTGTTCATAAGCTTGAAGAATTCCTGTGTAATTTGAATTATTGAGTTTAATTTTCTTAACACAAAATAACACAAAAACGCAGGAAATATTTTCATTTTCATTTTTAATTTATGTTTTTTTACATTCAAAGGCAATTTAATAAAAAAAGTTGTTTTGACATCAACAATTTTATAATAACAAAAATTAAATTATTTCTTTATTTTCATGCCTGCTTCATACCACCATCCTATTTCCAAAATGCCACTTGTATTATGTTAAAAAAATGTGCTCTTTGAACGGTTTGTTCGCTTTCCTGACAAACATGAATACATTATAAGAGATATATTTGCTAACACATCTTATCGATGAAATTATCTCATTAAATATTAATTTTTTTCGTCTGAAACAAAAAGTGATCCACACATGTTCTTACCCCTTCTCCTCTCTTTATATCGTAAATCAAAATTTTTTCTCCAGCTACTTTCCGTGATCAAATACAGATCGTACCGTGTCGAGGGACATTTAATAGCTACTTTATCTAATAGCCGCTAACTGTCATTAGCACGCTACCTGGACGCGACGGCAGCACTCGACACGCGATCGTTGCATCGCGGATGACCGGCGGGTAAGCGCGGCTGACAACGGCGCGGACGCGCATCGACTTCGTAACCGACCGTCGGGAGAGAAGCAGGGTGAGAGAGCCGGAGGATCCTTATCCTCCTTGCCGGGGATGCCGCGGAGAGAAGCTTCGCGATATAACACATCGATCTGTTGTCGGCGAATGCGCAGTGAAACGCGCGTCACGACGCGAGCCGCCGCGCCGCTCCGGCTGCATTTCCAGCGTGCCACCCCATATAAAACCGTGACCGGGGCGCGATACCAACAGGTGATGCCGAAGGAGGAGGACACTCCCTCGAGCGACATCGTCGAGAGTCTCCCCTGAGTCCTGCCGCCGTCGCCGTCAGTGATTTACTACTCACGAGCCTATCGTTTGTTCCTGCCTCTCTCTGCGGATCGCCGACGACTCGCCGCGGCCGACGACCACCAGGACCCATCATCCGAAGGCTCACGAGAGCAAACGAGCCGAACATCGGATCCTCGTGCTCGCCGCGGATCAACGGCAGAGGAAAAGCGGAGGGACCGTCGGCGAGAGAGAGAGAGAAGCAGCGAAAGTTTCGGTCGGTCGGTCGATGATTTAGTGGGCAGGTCGCTTAACAGTGCTTCTCTCGCGACTCCCGACGCAGCTTCCCGCGCGCGCGTTCGCCCTCGCGAGAGAACTCCGGAGGAACCTGATCGGGGCGCAAGCTGGGATGAGCGCGAGATCGATTCGCGACATACGATGATCAAGTGTCCCCGTCCTCGCATTGGATTCCGCCAAGGTGAGCGACTTTGAAATCTTTCATGAGCGATCCTCCGTGGCGACGCACGGGTGATTTTCGTACGTGTACGCAACGCGACGATAACTGCGTGGAACGAGCGAATTTCCCTACCACTTCTCATGCACCGGCTGTCCCTCTGGCTCCAATTAATTGTTGAAATTTCAAATTCAGATCTACTTCTCCTCGAGATAGTCTTTCACTATTCGATCGGTTTTCTACGCGCACACACAGGTACTTATCACGATACAGAAATACCGGCTACATAAATTGGAAATGAACTTTCCAAAGGAGCTCGTGACGGTTCAAAGGGAGTATCTGTGAAAGGGAATTTTCTTACACGGAGACACAAAGTACGAATACAATGAGATTACGCGATTGCGCGGGCGAGACCGACGAACGGCGTGGACGCAAGACGAATGTGGCAACAAAAAGGACAGGAATCATTCCGTGAGATAGAAATGTCTCCCCGTCATCAGAAATACATATTAAAGCGCTTTTCCAGAAATACATAAAGGGATCTGAAGAGCATTGTGGTGGGACAGGATATTTCACTGTTCAACGGTCAGTACGCGACGGACATCTTCACTTTATATGTAAAATCATTGATTTCCTCTTGTCGCTTCGACAATTCAGAATCCGATTGCGTTGCTACACGGATTTATTAATAACCGAAACCAGATTTCTCTTTCTCTTCTACGATTTTTCCTCCCTCTCATTTTTCTTCCATCCGTCCGTTGCCCGCGCTGAAGCTATTAATTTCGCGTTGAATATATATCTAGAAGATACACTCCCGAGATTAATCCATCAGTGCTGTCGGCTCAACGCGACCCACGTTTCGCCAATGAGCGAAGACGCAAAGGCAGCTTGATTCCGAGCGAGCATAATTCGAGTCGACACCAACCGACTCCAATATAGAGCGCAATATATTAAACACGCCGGTGATCCGGAGCGTATTCGTGAATTCGTAAACTACCAGAGGAAAAGTAATGCAGAGGCCAATTTATGGAAATTGGACCGAATAATCAACGTTGCGCTATAACACGATCCACGTCGTCGGGAAAGCAATCGTCCATTCGGACAATACGTGTCTCTAGAAATGGGCGGTTTCATTACACCGCGGAGGATGACAAGAGTGAAATGACGAAGCGGGAAACGTGGCGCGAGGAAACGAACCGCCCTAGCTATCGTCATGTTTTCTTAGTACGCTGGCACTGCGTACGCAACACGTGTTGGCATAAAAATAAAACCACGCCGACGGCTTCCCCGGCACGGCGCCTGAAATTTCCAGGTTCATCGAGCCACTTTGTTGATTAGCAGTTCGGATTACACGCGCTAACCTTTGCTGCTATGTAACTCAATCGCTTGAAAGTGAAACCTTAGTCGGAAACGGATGGCTCGTTAATTTTGATACAGCTTTTATTCGAATATCTGGCTCATCGGTAAAGAAAGAGAGGGAAGAGGAAGAAAGGAAAGAAAGACAGAGAGAAAAAGAAAGAGAGAGAGAGAGAGAGGCAGGAAGACAGAGGAGAGAGACACCGCAAATGGGCGACAATAATCAATCGCCGAGCGTGGTTTCTTGGGTCGCGAAACTTGGTGGAGCGTAAACGAGATGCTGTGACAACGGAAAACAGAAGAAAAAGAAAGAAAGGTAAGCTGTAAGATAACTTGAACATTTTCTCAAGTAGTTCTTCCTTGCGGAAATAAAAATTCTGGCTGCGCTTAAGACAGACAAGAGCGCAAAAAGACGCTTGAAAAACACGCGGTGTGTTGTCATTTACGAAAAGGAGATGCGATCGCATAAGTAACAAAAATATACGAATGAAACCGGGCTCATATACAGGGTGTTTCACAACCACCGTAAGATATTTTTATAGCGTATTCTGAACATAAAGTAGAGTAAAAAATCTTAATACAAAAATGTCGAGACTACAAGTCTAGACTACAAGTCGAGACTACTAGTACTAGTTTTTTAATTATAACTGATCAAAGATTACCAGTAATATCGCATAGAATTTGCACGCTCAAACCGTAATTATACAGTACGCACATCGTTTTATCATTTGTTCTACCCTTATAGAAATATCATACTAAGAATCATTGATAATTACTTATTATCCAGTATTTTTAATACTGAAAATAAGTAATTATCAATGATTCTTAGTATGATATTTCTATAAGGGTCGACTTCACAGTTAATATTAATTTTTACTACACAGCTGATTCCTGAAAACATTAATAATTATTATTGTTATTATTAGAATTATTAAATTTAATAGTTCTACACTTAAAACAAGGATTTTTGCGTTTTTAACATAAAAAATAATCATGGAAAATAATTTATTATTTTTATATTTTTAAGTTTTTTGAGAAGTGAAATCGTATAAATCGTATTTTTCATGATTACTTTTTATGTCAAAAACGCATAAAATCCTTGTTTCTCAAATGTGAAACTATTAAATTTGATAATTCTAACAATAATAATTATTAATGTTTTTAGGAATCAGCTGTGTAGTAAAAATCAATATTAACTGTGAAGTCGATAACAAATAATAAAACGATGTATTATATAACTACGGGCCTGAGCGCGTATTCTACGTGATATTAATCTTTGATCGGTTATAATTTAAAAACTATTGTAGTCTCAACATTTTTGTATTAGGATTTTTGACTCTATTTTATCTTCAGAATACGCTACTAAAATATCTTACGGTGGTTGTGAGACATCCTGTGTAGAATATATAAGGCATAGTACACGGTATGAAAATGGGGAGATAAATGATGAAGCATTCGCGCGAGTACGCGTCCGAGCACCCGCTGCATCAAAAAGACTGCGTTACGTAGAGTAATTAAAAATGCAAATTCAACGGCGCGATAATAGGGTGCCATTGAATCTCTTATTCCGTATTCATGTGTACACTCTCTCATTTCCCGAAGCAACACGTGCAAAAGCTAAATGTCATAATAAATAGATGTAAATGAGCACCCAGATAGGCAATTATACAAAAGCGCGCTACTTTATAACGCGCGTTATAAACGCGTTATAAACGCGAATCATTTACGAATCTGGGCCGACTGGCGACCGGTGAATATTTTACTCACCTTAATTACTAAAGTATCCGATGTTTAAAAAATGCGATTTCAATGGTTCTGAAAAATTCAGCTTCGAAATACGCGAAAAGACGGCGAAATATAATTTCTCTCATCGATCACAAGCGCATCTTGTCGTAATACAAATTTCCCGAACTCTGCCGGCGAGAAACTACACGATGTTGATTACACCGATAGTTGTTTCAGGCGTAGGCCGTGTTAAAAGCTTTTTATCTCGCTCTTTTCGCGAATGCTCGATGCGCTTACCTACTTTTGCTTCAACATGTCTCAAAAGGTTAAATATAGACTCCGACCTCTCTACGTGATATTTGCACGATATTAAGAAATAGTAATATTAAACTCCCTGTATATCACACGTTTGTACGTATTTGCACATGACCACTATCTGAAGTATAACCAGTATATTCTTCATCGAAATGCTATACTTATAACCGGTGGTTCAGTTGCAAATGTAGCACTGCAATCAATAATGTCTCGCTGAAAGGATTAATTAATAGTAACGATTACTCCTATTATTGATGCACTTTGCAAATATAGACAATGTTATTGTATGTAAAGCGCATCTATTCAGAGAAAAAATATCTGAAAAATAGAAAATATTTATTTGGTGAGTACTAATATATTTTAACATATTTGTTAAAATCTAGATTCTTTTATTTGAATACAATAAATAATTGCATTTCAAGAAAAACTAAGGTTTTCTTAAGGTTTCAAGAAAATATTTTCTTACTTAAACATTTTGTATTAGTACAAGCAAATATGTTATTAACACTCACCGAATATATATTCATTATACAGGGTGTTCAAAAAGTCCCGGACCGGTGAAATATCTCGAAAACTAAGCATTTTAGAAAAAAATGTTTCAGATAAAAGTTGTGGCGTTTAAAAAAATGTATTTACTGATCACATCAGTTTGACCTTGGGTTGCGTAGCGAAGGTCAGGTCAAGGTCACATTAATTTTT